GGACATAGAGGTAAAAATGATCTCTCAGAAACCCAGTATTCAGAGTACTGAACATCAGGAAGAGACCTGAGGTAACATTCACCCAGAGATGAATTTCATGGCCCAGGGAAGCACTTCTGTCCACTGCTATCTCCATCCTTTTGTATGTGGACAGGCAAAAAGGCTAAATTCTCCCCAAACATTGTTCTTACAGCTGAATGCCCTTTGCCATAGGGTTATAGTCTCATGTGGGGGCCAACAAAAAAAAAAAATGGGGAAAAAAAAAAAAAAAGGAAAGAAAGAAAGGAAGGAAAAAAAAAAAAAAGGGAAAAATTTTTTTTTTTTAAAAGAAAGAAAGAAGTAGCCTGAACACTGAGAACCTTTGTCCTCATTGCGCTGACTGGTCACCACCTTTGGGTGGTGGAGGTCTCATGTTCAGCGTGGGATCTTGTCTCTTGGTTTCTAAGTTTTCAGAAAAACATGTAAAGCTCTTTTCCCCTTGATCCTGGGGCCATCAGAAGATAATTAGAAACATCAGAAGAAAACGTATCGGTGTATCTTTATAACGTTGAGTTCACAGGCACTCAATACAATTTCAATGAGGAAAAAGTATGCAGGATAACCTGAAGAAAATTTCTTTCTACTCTTCCTGTCATGCCAGCGTCATTTGATACTTGCTGAATTGTTTTTATGAAATTGAATTGTGTTTTGACAGTTTACTATCAATATATATTAAAAGAAACAATTTCATATGTTTGCTGTAAGGACACTGAACCTTTGTTAGGAACACCCAGGACAAATATTTCTCTCTGGAGTTATTATCAGGAATATTCAGGCACCTTTTGAACTACTTTGAATTGTTCCTCCTTATTTTAAAACTCACAGGCACTGTGCTTTATGAAGTTAATAATGCCTCTTTCCATATTGGGCTCTTGAAATCCCAAGAGCTGAAGTCGTATTTCATGTGTACAAATGTATAACACCTTTCAGCATTCCTTCTGGGGCTATATTCTCAGTCCTGGGTTTATATCTGTCTTTGTCCTTGAATCTCAATTCACCAGTTCCCTTCTCCACTTAGCTAAAATTTTATTATTTTATGCATTCTTGACACCACTTTATTGCTTCTTTGAATGACATGGAGGATATAAAGAAAAGCAAATGGTTTTACTCACCCCTTTACCTGAGGGTGTGGTGAGGTCAGTTATCAAAATTTTTACTTAATGGTTTTGCTACATGCCATCAAGTAATTTTCAATTCATTTTGACCCCATCACAGAGTATAACCACTTCTCCTTATTCTTCTTTTTTCTCCCAACCAGGAGGTTTATTTGGGAAATTAACAAGTTACAAGTCAGGATTAAAAAATATTAAGAATAGACTTCTTTTGTCCACGGCTACTCTTCCCAGCCATGCCAGTAGGCGTCTCTCTCTCTGGTCTTCAGTCTTTCAGCCACTAAGCCTTTTGGCCTCTGCCCTTCTCTTCTCGTGCTGATAAATGCCCAAAGGACACCCCATTCTGCAAGCCAGCCTCTTGCTAAGAAGCACTTAAATGTACCCATTCCATGAGCCCGGAACCCACCAGTCTGACTCATGGCCTCAGTGCTACAGCTTCTGGTCCTCTGCTGTCTGCACTCTATCATGCAGCGATCTCACATGTGTTTTGCTGGTGACTCTTTCTTCTCATTATTTTAAAAAATGGTTTTATTGGCATATACTTCACCTATCATACAATTCAATCATTCAGCCACATTAAGAAGATTTATGCAATCATCACCACAATTCATTTCAGACAGCATAACTTGACTGCAATCTCGACAGAAGCCAGTTGACAGATCTTCCTCTTGCAGCGTGGCTGGGTGGGTTGAAATGCCAACTTTTAGCGTGTCAGCTGAGTGCTTGACCATTTATCCCACCCTGGCTCCTTTCTCTCTTTCAGTTTACCAGATTTTAATTTCAAAGATATGCTTCATTTGGAATTTGTGGGTAGAGGAAACTGATAAGCACCTGACTATTATCCAAATGTTGGTGGTTTGGAAGACCAGAGTGGAGAATGGCATCGGATAGGTCACAGCAGTTCTACTTGTACAAATGGAGTTGCCATGAGTAGCCATTGACTCCACAGCAATCCCCAATGACAACTGCTTAATTCTAGCATGTATATTACATAAAAACACCCTCCTTTCTTGATCCATGCATCGCCACCACCAATGTTAACTTCTGAATAGCATCTGTCCCTTAATGCTGTAGATGTTACTGTGATCTGCCAACACTGCAGTCCCTGCACCCAGGTGGACAGCCACACCACTGACTTATCTCAGAAACAGATTCAATCATGACTGAGGTAGTTTGGCAAAGAGAGGCTGTAAGAAATGTCCTACAGATTAAAGTTGGGGAAAGAAAGGGGAGTTTCAAGTACTATAATAAAAGATAAATCCTGCCTATCTTCTTTCTGTTCACTTTTTTAAAATTTACACCTACATAGAAGGGTACACAAAGAAGAATTTCCTTTCATTGTCTGAGCTCCAACCTCTTGGTCCTTCTTTTCCCCCCACAGGCAGCCAATGTTAGCTTCTGGGGCAGATTTCCAGAAAGGTTTACATATTGAAATGGATACATGAGTGCTTCAAAAATCTTATCGAAAAAGTGCATATTATTTTTCATTCCATTTTCCATGAACTTTTTAAAGCATTCTTATATTTGACAACCAAATATTCTTTTCTTTTTCTTTTTGCATTTCCCCTCTAATATCACATAATTCACTAGTCTACTGCAACTTTTTAATATTAGTATATTGAAGATCATTCCAGTTCATTTTTTTTCATGTTTTGGTGATTTTTAATCTAGAAATACCATAATCATTTAGCAACCATTTGGTTCTGTAGATGCTTAGGTTCTGTCCTGTCTTTGTTCATGAGTCACTTAACCCCTTTGCCTAACTGTCCCATGTTTATTCAAAGACCTCAAAGCCAAAGTCAGCCAGTTGCTGTGGTGTGGATTGTGACTCATGGTGACCCTTGTGTGTCACAGTAAAGCTGTGGTCTGTAGAATTTCAATGGCTGACTTTTCCTGAATGGGTCATCAAGTCTTTCTTCTGAGGCACCTCTGGGTATCTAGAGCCACCGACGTTTTGGTTAGCAGCCAAGCTCTTAACTGTATGATTCATCAGTTAAATTTACCAAGAGTATCACAGTGTTTATAGCTTTGCACCAGTTTTTGTTAGGATATATTATGCTATTTAAGTCCACCTAGTGATTAAATGATTAAATCTATACCTTTTATTTTAGGAATGCATTGTAATGTTGTGCTTTAAAATGTTTTTTATATTCTTGCAAGGTGTTTGTTACATTAAGAAGTTTTCATAGTTCTGCACCATGAATGCTCCATCACACATTATATTTTCAGAAAGACAGATATATGTGTATAAATATTCTATGTCAAAGATATAGATACATACATACAAATATGGGTAAATTCCCTGTGTTAGGCCAGGTTGAATAGGGAAACAAATCAGGTAACATTCATGTAAGAAAGAGTTTTATATCAAGAAGTAATTATAAAACAAGAAAGGGTCCTAACTCTGTCCTAACAATGTCTACAGCATGGTTAACCAGTTCCTTATCATAGTCATTCTTTTCAAAAAGCTCTTTCTTAGGACCCATTTTTTTTAACCTCAAAACAGTACAAAAATGAAGAAAATTATTGCAAAATGCTGGAACACAGCTGCAAAAGGTTTTAACAATGCATACTAACAATGCCAACAAATGCTTAGTGATCGAAACACAAACTGCATTTGTTTACAAAAATCATGTGCGGTCAGTTGGATTCTGATGTTTTGTTTGAGCTCTGACACAAAATTTCCTTGACATCTCTTGTTGAAATCTGATTATGTCGAGTACTGATGCAGTCGAATACTGGGATTCTCTTATATTATCTAGCTAGCAGCATAGACATCTCCTGTGGATTTGTTAAAAATGCAAATTCTCTGTCCCAGACCACAATTACTGCATCAGAAATATTGAAGGTAAGGTGCAGTAATTTGTGTTTTAACATGGTCTTCTGATGATTCTATTGCATCTATGTTAGAACCACTGCTGTTACATTTCTATCCATGGGGTTTTTTTTAAATAAAAATTAAGCCACAGTAGGGATTGAATGAACTTGTTATGTGAAAATTGTAAAATATAAAGAATGTTATACATTTTTAGTTATTTTTTCTACTGTAAAACGGGAATAGATTTTAATCACAAATTAACTTAAACATTAAAATCAACATTTTTGCTGAAGGTTACAGGTCATGGAAATTGCTAGTACTTGCTTAGTTGGTTCTGCAGAAATATAGCTATCAGTCTTCCATTGACTTATTTTTATATAGATATAATAAAGTGAATATCAGTGCAGCTGTGAAGGCATGCAGCAGACGGGGCAGGAAGGGTTGATCTAGTCTTTCCACACCAAGTTATTGGGATCTAGAGGATGAAAATTTGTCAAAACCAAAGTGAGTCATTTTCTTCTTCCTCTTTGGCTACCTCTTTGAGCCTCGTCTATCTATCATCAGCACAGAGTTCTCCAAATTTGGGACCTGGACAAAGTCACCTTATTCACTATATCGTAGATAAACTTCCGTCTTTGACCTATTGGAGGCTCTGATTATGTGTTTGATGATCAATGGACAATTGGATAAAAGTGCGTGGGCCGTGGATTGAAGGGGGTTCTATGAAGGACAGAGTTCTGAACAGTTTAGAGACAGGAACGTAGAGAAAAGAGCGGAGGAAGAATTGTGATATGAGACCATAGTGATTCCTGCAGATGTGTGTTCACTTTCTCCTCTGCTTTTGCCATTTTCTATAGTTTAGGAGATTCCTAAAGTAATCATCTGTCTCCTGTGAGGCAAAAGAAAGAAAAAGACATCATCAAGAATTTTCCACTTAAGACAGTTAGAGGCAACATTCTCACCCAGGAAAGGCAGAACACCATGGTCACATGACATCCTCTTTCTCTTCCTCACAGGCCACGCAGAAGGTGATGGGAAGAGAGAATTCTACTTCCGGAGGAGACTTCATCTTGGTAGGCTTTTCGGAGCAGCCATGGCTAGAAAAGATCCTGTTTGTGTTCATCTTGATATTTTACCTTCTTACAGTCATGGGTAATGGCACCATTATCCTGGTATCCCACCTGGACTCCCAGCTCCACACACCTATGTATTTTTTCCTCGCTCACCTGTCCTTTATTGACCTCACACATGTGACCTGCATCAGTCCTCAGATGCTGTTCAACCTTGCGGGGTCAGACAAGTCCATAAGTTTTGTTGGCTGTGTGGTCCAGCTTCTCATCACCCTGGGTCTGGGGGGCACGGAGTGCATCCTTCTGGCCATGATGGCATATGATCGCTATGTTGCTGTCTGTCAGCCCTTGCATTATTTCACCCTCATGCCACCGCAGCTGTGCTGGACATTGGCCAGCATATCATGGGTTGTTGGTTTCAGTAACTCATTGATACACACCCCTATCACAATGACCTTTCCCCGATGTGGCCACCGACGGATAAACCATTTTTACTGTGAGACGCCCCCAGTGCTGCAGCTGGCCTGTGTGGACACCACAAGTTACAAGAAGGAGATTACAGTGCTAAGTAGTGTCTTCCTTGTATTTCCACTCTCACTAATCTTAGTTTCTTATGGTCGAATTGCCCATAGTGTGTTGAGGATGAAGACACCCGGGGGGCGACAGAAGGCCTTTGGGACCTGTGGCTCCCATCTTACAGTGGTGTCCATCTTCTACAGTACTGTCATCTACATGTACATAGCCCCAAAGCCAAAGCTTTCTCAGGATGTGACCAAGTTTGTGGCACTCCTATACAACTTGATTCCATCTGTAATCAATCCAATAATTTATACCTTGAGAAACAGAGATGTCAAGGAAGCAATAAGGAAGCTGGTGATGGGGAAAGAAAAAAAGGAGGATGCAGACTTTTCATAGATTTCACCCAATTAAAGAAAAGGAAGACATTTGCAAAGGAAATTTTGTGAGACACTGTAGATTTGGGATTAAATATTGGGCTTGTCAATGACTTTGCAATCTATCTTATTCTCTCTGTGAGTTCCTGTCTGCCTTTTAATGGTGACTTTAATAGGTATGCATGTGATTTGGAGGAGCAAGTGTCTATGTGTAGAATTTCTTTTTGTGAATAAATAAATTCAAACAAGAGAAGCCCCTAACATTGTGAAATTCTTAACTTTTGTCTTGATTATTTTCAGATTCTAGTCCAATTCTTTCTTCTTCATTATCATCTTTTTATCTCTATATTCTGTTTTAATTCTATTAATAAATCATCCATGCGTTCCTTTCTCATACTTCATATGAATCAACCAATTGAAAAGTCTTTATTTTTATCAATATTACAGTTACTAAAAATTTGTAGAGTTGATTGATTCTACAAAGCAAGATACAATGGACAGAATATTCTTCCCACCCAATTCCTTTTCATCAAAAGTAATAACTTTTAGCTTTTTAACTTTGTAACAACTCTATTTGTATTTACCAGGGAATCCAGGCAATTCACATATTCTATTACCTCAATTTTCAGTTTTAAGTGTTAGCTTCTCATTGGCAAATACAAGTTGTCTTTTTCCCACCCCACATAATCTCCATATCTCCATCCTTGCAGTGTAAACTGGTCTTGATCAATGCATATATTATGCGCATTTTTATGACACTGAATTCTCATTAGACTTTGGCTACTTTGTAAATTACAGTTATTCCAGATTTACTTTAAAATTATTGCTTTTAAATGTGGTGAAGAAAGCTGATGGTGCCCGGCTATCAAAAGATATAGCGTCTGGGGTCTTAAAGGCTTGAAGGTAAACAAGCAGCCATCTAGCT